CAATCAGGCGCTCGGGTTCAGAGCCAGATAACTCAGCTGTCACCACGCGGGCCTCGTTAACCCGGAGGTCGTGGGATGATTCGTGTCATCGTCTTACGCACAGCCTCGGGGTAAACATCCAGCAGACTGCTTAATCTTTTATTTGACGAGGTCTGAGTTATCCCCAAACCAAAGTTGTCTACTCACTACCTCCCGTCCTCCTGCTTCTCCTCACACAGCGTGAGTTACAGTGTGTGTAATGTGGCGCATGAGCTCCATCTGAAAGGGATCCAGACTCGGCCCCGAAATAAACCCAAGGATATGAATCCAAAGTCATGCAAAAAAGAAGACAACGCCAGCATCGGGAACAGCGGGATGTGTCAACAATTAACCAGCAGCCGCGGTTGAAAATAGAAGCGACGTGTCACTTTTCCTGCATTTCTGTGTATTGCCTCAAATAACACATTTTGTCTCATGAGATGATAATGATGCACCGTGTGCTCAGTGCTCATGGTGAGTCCAGGGGGGGGATGAAGGAGACCTTCGTCTGATAGATTGTGCCCACATGCTGTCCACAACTCAGCGCGAGCCAGGTCTGGATGATCGGATCCTGATGCGAGCGAGATCCGATCTCTCGGAGCGTGCAGACAGTTACTGCGTCCTGCGTGGTCGGATGACAAAAGTCCCGTTGAAGAGACGATTGTAACCGCGTCCCAAGTGTTTCCTCCTCTAAAGCTCTTTGTCTGTGAATAGAGAGTTCTACTCTGTTCAACCGACACCCCACCGCCTCACTGCCACTGGTCACTGAAGCTCTGCTGCCATTAATCACAGAGAGCATAATCAGTGTTCGGCTGTTCCACTTAGCCACCCAGTGACAGATGGTGGCAGGTTAAAGAGTCGGTTTGCATCTCCCAGCAGTCAGCTCACCTTTTTTTTTTTCTTTATAGACCTTCCGTCTGAAAATGTCTTCCATTACACACTGCAGCTTTGGGGCCAATCCACCCGCAGAGCCAGAGACATCTGTTCCTACACAGGAACACAGATTCTGCTGCCGTCCCGGGCGAGGCCACCTAGTTGCAGGGTTTTTGGGCGGCGGAGTTAAGATGTGGGATCGTAGCTGGAGCGGCTGGCTCGGATATTCTGGCTGGGCATCTGAGAACCGCTGAGATGCCTTTAAGCAAGGCAGAGATCCGTGTCCACCCCAAAGAAGCTGCTCAATACACACTGCAGGATCATGTTAACAAAGAGCAGATGCTAACTTACACTGGATTAAAAGAAAAAACGTGTTTCTTTACCTTGATCTTAAGGTTTACGGTTATGTATTCATTGGTCTTAAACATTTAGTTTATCTAGTTATTATCTAGATAAACTAAATGTTGGGATGTCTGGCCTTTGAAACTCACAGCCTAAACTTGGTTAACTTTCTTTCTTCATCATTTATACTTCAGGGCATGGCATGCTCCCTGAAGGCCGCATCCGTCGTATGTTTCAGGGCATAGAAACTGTGTAATGGCAGAGTTTTATGATTTAACCTGACTTGGAGATTGTGATGTGTTAGATACGTTGTTAAATAATCTTTGTGTCAGATATGGATCCTTCAGTCACAGATGATTTACAAAGCGTCCTCTTAACAATGCAGCTTCCTGTTAACATAAGCACATGTAACTGCTGACGAGCTGCTCTAGGTTTTTACTGCTATTGGCCACCTTTTGTTTAGTTTATGTCTATTAGTCAGAGATAGTGAAACCCGGTGGTTTTAGCTAAATCATTCACTGTCGCTGCTCTTGTCTGGTGATAGAATTGACCTGTGGACTTCTTGAATAACTGACCTCATAAAAAGGTCTTCATCCTCAGATTTCATCTAGAGACTGGTTTCATCTCCTTAATTGATTCAACTAAGTGATGTAAAACATTACAACGTGAGAAAGGAGAGAGACAACTCACCACGCTGTTTACATGTGAAGCATGTTTTCACATCTAGTCATGCTCCTTGAACTGACTCAAAATGAGATCAAGAGAAGCAGAACGAGAGATGATGTGAAACAGAAAGGACTGAGGTGATCTGATCAGACGTGGGCAGCATTTCATATTGATTATAGTTTAAATCCTGTATCAGTCATCTGTTAATGTCTTTCTCAATGTGAATATCTAATATAGTAAAACACAGGTCCACGTCCTCGTCAGCGCAGCAGATCTGCACCAAATGTTGCAACACTGACAGTTAACGTTAATCGTACTTTAGAAGAACCCGTTTATTATGCTCTTGTGTTTTTTATCAGTTTCGTGCTCGACCAGCAGCTCAAATCAAACGTTCGCTGCTACGGATTAAGTCAAATTGAATTGACAGAAAGAAGCGTTCAGAGAGAGGCAGGACGGTGTGAAGGGGAGACAGGTGGAGAGACAAGTGGTGAGAGAGAGAGAGAGAGAGAGAGAGAGAGAGAGAGAGAGAGCTGCTCCGTCAGATATGATCGAACGAGTCTTCACGTGAAGGGTTTGAAGTGAGAGTCACGCGGGAAGAGAGCAAGACGGAGGGAACAAGAAGAATCAGTAAAACACAGTTTAAAGAGTCGCCCCTCGCTCGGCCTGCCTCTCTGACTGTCACCTTCTAATCTCTGTCACACATCTCAATTGCTTTCTGTTTCCCCTCCTGGTCCTCTCTTCCTGCTGCCGTCTTCCTCCGTCTCAGTCTCGAAGCCGACCGAGCTGCTGCGCTGCACTCCGCTCCGCTCAACGCGGGGATACAAATTAATTCCAAACTCCCATTAGAGAAAACAAGCTTTTGGATGGTAATCAAGATAAATCCGGGGCCCGGGCGACGCTATCAGCGGAGAGAATCTTGATTGTTCGCCGAGCACTTAGGAGCCAGGAGAGTGTTTGAAAGTAGAGATGAGGCACTCCCAAACTTCTTATCTTGTTTCTGCGTGAAAAGTGGAAGGAAGCATCCACCTGTGACGACAGGCGGGGGGGGGGGGGATTACAGGGGTAGAATCCTAATGGGGCAAATTACACAGGCGAGTGATAACACCGGCACACTGATACCGGAGCGCTCTGAGTCATGTCGAACTCACAAAAGACGAGCCCGACAGTAAAGTTTGTGTTGTTTGGTCCTTCCCAGAGTGGAAAAGTTGTCGTTTGTTGTTTGCGTTCCTGTTTCCAAACTAAGTGCAGAGGCGCTGTGCCACAGCAGTCCTCAGTACACTGACGCCCCTCTACCACTGGACTAAACCCACTAACCCACTAACCTTTATTCTGTGCCACAGCAGTCCTCAGTACACTGACACCCCTCTACCACTGGACTAAACCCACTAACCCACTAACCTTTATTCTGTGCCACAGCAGTCCTCAGTACACTGACGCCCCTCTACCACTGGACTAAACCCAACTTCCAACAAGTGAGAACAGGTTGTAACGACAGCACACTCTGATTCTGCAATTACAAGCCATTCCTACGGCATTAACTTGGTTATATAAAGGTTAAACGCTTTCAGGTTTTCTTTCAACATAGTTTTTGAATGATTATATAATATTGAAGCTGATGTTATCTACAGTACATATTGTAATAGAGTTGTTAAAATGTTCCTCAAGCGATGGCTAAATGTGTCCTAGCCATCAACTAAATTCAGCTCAGTTTAATCCAAACATCCTTCGACCTTCATACCTCTAAATAAAAGCTCAGCGGGATGTGTGTGAGCGCCTGCTCTTAGTCCGTGTGGCATTTTGCTTTCATGCCACTAAAGCTGTCGGTTCATGTTGGCACAAGCTGCTGATGTTGTTTCAATGTGTAGACTTCAGATTGATGGAGTGAAAACTCTGCCCACTGTCCCGCACTGTGCCAGTGTGTGTGTGTGTGTGTGTGTGTGTGCGTGTGTGTGTGTGTGTGTGTGGAATGCAGCCATTAACACGACGGCCCCGTAAACAAAGGTCACGTGGACTCACCAGTCGTTTATTGAACAGGAGGTTTGTTAACCTGTCATCCCACAGTGAGGGGCAGTCAAACTCATTCCTGTAACTCAAGCTAAGCGTGATTGAGTCACAGGCTCAGTTGATCGCGATGGAGACCAGCAGCAGTTTACCTTCATTTGACTTTGCTGTTTTAGGCTTTCCAAGCATGAAGAATTGATATTTGATGTTTCTTTTTATTCAAAACACCGTGCACCATGTTGCTGTATTTGCCCCAGATGAATAAATAGATGAATGCATAAGAATTTGACTAAACCTCACAGAACTTTAATGGTTAGTAAGCTACATTTGTAGGAGCTGCCCGGGGGCCAAGCGCTGCATTCTATCATCACTAACGAGCGGTCCTCTGGCGTTGAGGGAAGGGAAGACAGATTGTAATTCCTTTCTTCATACTGCCTCAAAGTTTGCCAGCTGGTGTTCAACCTGTGGGCAGCTGGGCACCGGCCCAAAGAACGGTAATAAAGATGCTCAATTTAACAACGTGCGCTTCCTCGTCTTTGTTGTTCCTCATCAGCTGCTGTTGCTGCTTGCATAAGCATTAAATATCATCACGTCCTGTTCAGCAGCGGACTCTTCTTCAAGAAGAGCGACCGTCTTATTGGTGTTTTGATCTAAATCGATACATGTATGCAGATCTCTCACAGTGTTTACACCATTTGGGTAATTGGGTTGTTCTGTGAGCAGAGAGTTGGACTCTGACTGATGGGAGTTTTTGGACTCGGATAGTCTTGAACCCATTTCTCCGGCCGGCCTCGTTCAGCTGCCTCCTCGGATAACCCCGAGAGAGGATGGCTGACGTTCAGCCATCCATCTTCCCTCCGTTCGTCTGCAGTCCTCTTCCCCGCCAATCCATAAAGAAGGCAGAAAGCGTACATCACTGTGCAGAATGTGAACATAAAGTCTGAAAATAAACTTAGTTTTGTGATGAATGCGCAGGTCACTCCTTTTGCAGTCAGCGTCCCAGTATTTATGTCCAAAGTCAAGGCCCGTTCCTTCAGCGCTGCCTGCAATCTATTTCAACTCCCACCTCACCAACTGTTACTTTCTGTTTGTCTCTGCAGGGGCTCATTACTTGCTTTGCTGCCGGTGTTTCCAAATGCTGTTGTAGCCAGGTGCATGTGTGCACACAGGTGAGCTGATACACTCACGCTCATGCATGCACACTCTCTAGGATATAGATTCCTTGCTTCATGGGTGTTTGCGAGCCTTCTTTTGGTAAAGCCGTGACACTTCAGCCTGAAGACTAAGTTCAATCATTCAGTTTAGTTGTTTGGAAATATACGTTTGCAGGAAGCGAGGTTGCAGACTCGAACCTCGCAGTCAGAGCAAGTCTTTAAGATGATTACCCGGACTCGGGACACGGTTATTAAAGAAGCATTCGGTCAAGTTTTAGCCGTCAGTTTTGCAACAGCAGCTTATTTATTCAGTGGTTATTTTGAGGTAAAGCGGCCTGTAACTGACTTAAACAACACGCTCACATTTTTACATCGGAGACAAACGAGCCATATAATCGTCCTGAGCCGAGTCCATCATCTGCAGGGTTCTGATCCACATATGAAGCCATGCCAAACCCGGGTTGCGATCCTACTTGGAGACTCAAACTTCAGATGTCACACGGCATTTAATTACCAAGAAAATCGAATTCTATAGACAGACGATAAGCCGCTCCTAATAAGCAGTTCCTCCAAAACAGAGTCACTGGTGTTTGAAAGTCAAATATCTCAGCAGCTAGCGAGGTAATCACTGGATTCCTGGATTTAATCAACAATCCTATCAGACTCCCACGCAGTAAGTATGAGCCTCGTGCTGCGGGGGAGCAACAATCTTGTTGAAGTGGGATTTGGGCAGCGATGTGAATAATTATCCAAAGTAAATTTGCCGATACTACAGAGAATCATCAGCCTTTAGTTTATTTTTACAACAGCCTTCCATGTACCAAACCAATTAAGATCATTACAATACGCTATTAACAGCAACCTTTGTTAATACGCGTGTTATGAGTTATTATAATATGATATATCGTAATGATTCCCATGATTCTCAGAAAGTCATATTTACAGAGATGCTCTGTTGATTTATATAAGAGGAGCGTCTTGTTTCTGTCATCTTCTCAGCACAGCGTGTGCTATGAATAGATACAGTAAACCTGTACAAGTGCACTTACCGATCTTTACACAGCAGCCGCAGTTAAAGTTTCTTCCAACTGTGCAAAGTGTCCACTGGCAGTTACAGGGAACGGTTGTGGGTGAGCTCAGCTGGTACAGCTTAAGGGCAGAGGTTGAAGTTTTTACAGGAGCCGACATTAGCTGGTTTAAGACTTTATATATATATATATGTATTTATATATATTTTTGAACAGGTTACAACGTGCTTTACAGATCTAAAGCTTAGTTTATACTCACCGCGGTGAAGCTGGTGCACCAGAAAATGCCGAAATCACAGGCAGGCTCAGCAAGTGGGCGCTTGGTCGTGCACCTCTGAATTTTTGTAACTTGTTGTGATCACATGACTCCAACAAATAGTGTGCTGATAAAAGCGCCATTTTGATGTTTAGGGATTATTCAAAGAAGGCTAATTCTCTTTAAAGGAGCTCTTAAAAATCTACATGTGAGTGAATACTTAGCAGCCAAATCAAACAGTTTACAGGATGTTCAACCTTTGTTTGTTTATAACACATTTAATACTGGACGTGTTCCTTTACATGGTTTGTATAAAGGTAATAAAGTAGTTTATGAATATGAGGTATGAGTTAGACAATTACAATCCCTCCTCGTCATTGTGGAAGTTGCTTTATGGCTTTTTGCCGGTTTCACCTAAAGTCTATGTGCATATGTTACACTCTTTTTTTTATATTGTTCACAGTTCATTTTGTTTGTACGCCTTCTGGTGTTTCAGAAAATAATGCAGCGCATCGAGTACGAACGCCTCCGTTCCTGCTCGGAGCTCGCTCTGTAGAGCGCGAGTATAAACAAAGCTTTAGTTTGTGCAACTTAGAATCCATGTCCACACCTCGGAGCTGAAGCACCAGGAGCCTCACCGCGTGGTGTGCTGATGAATCCACTGCGCTGTCCGTGGTCCTGAAGTAGCAGATGGATTTGTAATTGCAACTTTTTCTCAGAGTCCCTCCCTTCTGGCAGTTTCGTCTTGGATCTATAAGCGTTTGCATTTTAGATTTAGATTTTCACTCTGTTATTTGTACCTGTACCATAATTGCTGCTGTAGCAAAACAATGTCCCCTCGTGGGATTAAGTGCGTAAAACAGGAGAGACGAGACTGGTCACAACTGCATGCATACAGCTCGAGTGAAAAGCAAACCGCAGCCTTCATGTAATGAAATAGAATCATAGGTTCACGTGAGAGAAAACTAAAGAACGTGAACAAGATAAAAGTCGCCCAGTGCATTGAGGGATGTTCTGAGTTTGGTTCTAACAGGCTTCCTCCTGACCCTTGCTACTTTGGAGCCTTGTGATTTGGCTCCGTTTCCCCAGCACGTCGCTCATCCATCCGTTCCCTGCTCCAGCCAATTTAAAGATTTTCTTACCCCCTCACTCCTCTGTTCGATTCTCTCCATCCAACCTCCCTCCGTCGCTGCCATGCTTTCTACGCTCCATCCCTTAATCCGTCCTCTTTCAGTCTCCTATGAATTTTTATCCCCCTTAAGACCATCGCTCTGCCTCTCCCACGCACTCTCAACTGTGTCCTCCGGCTCTCTAACTTGTTTTGTCTCTCTTCCTCTCATTCTTTCTCTTGTAGTTTTGCCCCTCGCCATAACTTTTGAAGTGTAAATGTATCCAACAGGACTCCTCGGCTCATGGGGCGGTGGGGGCTGCCTTAATGGCTGCAGATGAGAAGATGGAGAAGAGAATAAAAACAGTAGTTGAAATGGAAGGAGCGAGGCCAGCCTGATGAGAGGGAGAAGCTGGAGTACGTTGTGTTTTAAATAGCAAATGAATGGAACAACAAAGTATCTATTTTTTACTACGACATATCGCTGTTCATCAACATTGTCTTCTGAGGCTCCTTATTTTAAAAAGGTATATCATCACGGTCTCTTTTTATTGCAGGTATGTCCTTTCCCCCCAATCCTTACCTGAGTATGTTACAACATCAAGTCTGATCCCATAATAGAGCTCTAGTGCAAACTCACCTGCAATAACATGAGTGAAGGAATTGAAGGATCTGTATGTAAGGGATAAAACACTACAGCCTGCATCACAGCTTCTTTATATATAGATGTGTCCTTTAGACAAACAGATTTAAAAACATCCCCGAACCAAGATTCCATTTGAGAAAAGCGTAGCAGTTTAACAAAAACGAGCAAAAACGTTGTTCTTTTAACACAATCCCTGGGAATGGATCCGCAACAAAAGCTAACCGCTTGTTTCTTGGTGCCAAGACAGGAGGGGGAGCAGGACAGTGTAATCCTCTCAATATGTGCATAAAGGAGGAGCACTCCGACTGGCAGCTTCTCTGGACTGCAATGCGTTGAAAGCTTGGTGCTCTTCTTCTGGCAGCTTCTAGATTATGCTAACATTTAAAAAAAGAACAGGATGTGATGTGATGGAGTTTTAAAAACCTGCAGAGCACAATCAACCCAGAGTGTTCAGGGCGTCCCCTTCTTAGTGGGGCGCTGACGTGCAGAAGTTGTGAGCTTGTAAACGTGAAAGCAGAAACACGTGCACAGAACAGTTGTTGCTCCAGCTGCTCTGCTAACGTGCCGACAGACGCTCCACTCACTGTTAAAACGACATAAATATCTCCCATCAGTCAACGCTGCAGAACAGGACTTTCATTATTCAACTCATTTGGATGGTAATCATGGTCCAATAGGTACAATCCTGTTTTATGTTTGTTTTTTATTGCGGTATCGACGTTTGTATTTGATAATTACTTGTATTGGTATCGACTGCTACATTTCTGGTATCGTGACATCCCTGATCAAAGTAAAACAGATTGTTTTATGCCCAGAAACTGAGATGGTGTGCCACTCGATGGCTATAACTGTTTACTTTATAACTGTCAAAAAGATCAGGATATCTTCTTAATAATGAATCCTAATAATAGGAGGATTTGGGAAAAGCTGGCAGAAATATGTCAAAGTGAGAACATAAATCAAGGAAGTGTGAGTGGAGGATGAGAGCAGCACGGTTACCTGAGAGATGGAGGGATGGACACAGAGGAGGAAACTCCCAAAAACTCATAAATAGATTTACAAGCTGTGAAGACTTAAAGCTGAAGTACATTTGAACAGTGCAGCTTCCTCTTTGTTTTATTAATTATACACCAAGTTGTACAAAATGACTTTTACCACAAAATGGTTTTAGCTGCTTTAAACATTAAAGCAGAAACTACTTTGCTTCCAATTACTGGATTTGTTCTCCGAGACGAGGAAAGCTGCTAAAAGAGAATTCTGATGAGCCAAACACAGAGTAGCTTCAGTCGTCTCACTGGACATTAGAGACACAACGTTCCAGTTGGATTCTCCTCAAACAATCAGAGAAATGTGAGGAAAATAATCAAGCTCCTTGTTAAATGAACTGAAAGAAGACACGGGGATAAGATCAGTGATACAGAGACTGAGGTGCAACATGGCAGCTGGAGATGGAGGGATGCATCTCATATGCAGTCTACAGTGTGTAACATCTGGACCACACGGAGGAGAGACAGATGGAGATTAGAGAGCGGAAGACGAAGGAGATGCAACGAAAAGACGACGCGAGAGGAGAGGCGGACGGAGAAAAGGAAGGAAGAGCAGAGCAGCCGTGACAGATTTGTGGCGGCATTGAGGCGTGACGCCGCCGTGAGGAGGGAAAGGAGAGGAGAGAGAGGCTGAGGACGACTTATAAGAGCCGCAGATAGAGAAGGAAGCTGAGGGACGCGGGGAGCGAGGCGGACGGGATAAAGGGATGAGAGGAGAGGAGCGAGAAGGGAAGGGGATTGAGGGAGTGTGTGAAGTCGAAAGCTGCTGAAAAGTGTTGCAAAGTTACACAACGCCACCGTGCTCCTCCCCTAACAGCAGGCTTGTAGAAAACGCAGTAAATTGGCCGTATTACCAGTGTGTCTCCACCCACCGCCCGGAGCGAAATGCATTATTATCTTTTACTAAGGCTCAAGTTGAATACCGAGATTG